GATCACCAATCCCACACCATTGGGCTTTGGGACTCAGGTTAGACAGTGATGATAGATGAAATACTTAGTGTGGATGAACCTCAATTTCTTCATCATATAGTGACAAAAGTTCAAAAGATCATAAAACTTATACCTGGAAGGAACCTGATAAAGTTATTTACTGTTCCAATTCTTTTAATTGATAGCCAAATAAACCGAGGTTCATTGATATCTAGTGCCTTGCCAAAAGGAGCAGATTGGGAATTCAATCCTGGGTGTACAGACTGAATCTCCAGGACCAGATTGAATCCATGGTGGTAGCTCACACTACACTGCCAGGTTTTGTGAGGAAAGCACCGTATAAACGTTAGAGCAAGGTAGAAATGGGAGTTGTTAGTATTATTGTTCAAGTCCCTTGTTTTCAACAGCTAATGGATTTTGAACCTTTCCGAGGATTCCCTGAATAATTGGAAGGAAAAAGTGAAATACCTTCCCTGGGCTCAAAAATCTTCATCTCTGACCACAGCAGAGATGCCACACTAATGGATTTGCTAATAAATGTTTCAAGACAGAATGATGGAAAGCTAGGTCCAGATACACATGACTGGTGCTAATCCTTTTAAAGAAAGACTTTTTGTTTTTTTTAAGTAGCCTAGAATGTACTTCCTTTTCACTGCCACCTTTTTGAATCCTTAGATTCCTTCACTGATCAACTCAGGTGCCAGTTCCTACAGGAAGCCTTCCCTAATTCCCCTTCTTTACTGGTGCTTTTTCCTTCCTCAAATTACCTTACATGTTTATCTGTGTGGAACCCAGGGTTCAAGCCTGGTGTATTTGCAAAAGATTCTTCTTGGTAGAGAGAATGATTATGGAAACTCTGGGCTTGCATGAAGGGCAGAGTTGACAAGAGCTGGGGAGAAGACAGATTGTCTTTTTCCGATCTCAGGCCTTGAGAGAGGTTACATGAGCTCCCAGGCTCTCTTCAGAGAGAGGCCCCTGGAAGGAGAGAAAGACTTTGGGAAGAAATGGAGATGTAGAAGAGGTAGTACTTCAGCATGTTGCTGATTTCAGTTAACTCACTAGAGAGTTGGGGGAATCTCTCCTTAAGTGAGGGAGAGTTGCTGATCTTTCTAGTTAGGGCTCTTTCCATTATGTAACATTGCCTCTCTATCTACACTAAGGAATTAAAACATCTTAATAATTCAATACTGACATAAAATCCAAGGGTAATTCAGAAATATCAAATACTAAATTTGTGTACAATTGACTACTATATTCCTGACTAGATTACAAGAAAGTCAGATTTTTTTTACTATGAAGAATTACCCTCAGAGGCTCAATCTAAGAATCAAAGATCAATTTGGGTTTTTCCTGCTATTACATATTCTGTTCTGAAAACCTCATTGCTATGAGAGACAATAAAGATCTGAGAGGAAATTCAGTCTCTTTATAGGTAAGATGTGATTCTGTCAATCAAATGATATTCTGTCTATGCAAAGTGTGTTGTGTACCTTAAAGCACTGTATAAATGGGAGCTGTTATACTATTATTGTACACATATTCTCTTTAATAAAGGCAAATATCATGACTATGATGACCAGGCTCTTGAAGTAAAATAATACTCTAACCATATTGATATACATTACATTTTTTTAAAAGATAGTTTAAAATAATAAAATTCAATATTGGCAGCACCTTGAAGAAATAAACATATCATTCTCAAGGAGGTTAGTGGTGAAAGATTATAAACAAATTTCAAAATAAGAAATATCCTACTGAGTTCATACAGTAGGTATCTAATAAAGTGATTGTTGAAAGACTAAAAGAAAGTAATACATTCTCTTTAATGTTAGTTATACTTTTAGTCAGTTCAGAAGAGTACAGGAGAGCAGATAAAAGTGTTATGATTATCTGGAAAGAAAGTAGTAGTAATAATTCATACACAGGCTTTTATTTTAAATTTTTTATTTTTATTTTCTGTTCCAAATTCTCTTTCCCTCCACCCTTTCTCCTATCCCTTGAGAAGGCAAGAAATATGATACCCATTACACATATGAAGTCATGCAGAAACATTTCCAAATTTGCCATGTCATACATAATCTTAAATAATACCTCTTGTTTTCAGAATATTTCACAAAAACTGACTATTTAGATATGGGTGGAGTAAATAAACTGAAATAGTCAAAAGTTATAGCTCTTGCACATCCATCAAAGCTTTTTTCTTTGACACTATAAACTTAAACTGTTATAATATGTTTTCAACTTCTGGCATCACCTAGAATCACTAGCCATGGTGTTATATTTTCCTCTTGGAGAAAGCTCCACCATATTTCAGTTTTTGTTTCTGTTTTTGTTTTTTAACTTTTACAAAGCGATATTAAAATGAGCTGGAGAAGGAAATGGCAAAACACTCCAGTATCTTTTCCAAGAAAATCCCAAATGAGGTCAGGAACAGTTGAACGCGACTGACATTACTGAACAGCAATATTTAATGAGAAGCTATAGCAAGAGCAGAAGTACAAAGCCTTGCCTTCACGACCAGGGGGCACACTCCCCTACCCTGGTCGTCCCTGAAGAGAGTGGCTTCAAATTTAAATCAGTTGCTACAAAGCATTGGCCCCTTTCAGCTGACTTCTGAATGTAGCATAGCTATTTGATGAGCCATTCCTTCCTTGAAGAACTGGTAACTTGGCAGCCTATCCAAGAGGTCAAACAGGTCCCCAGACTTGGTTGCAGGCAAACTTTGGAATGGATTCTAGTTTCTGGACCTATGGTAGCTTGCTCTTCTGACCTTTTGAAGCTCACAAGGTCATGGCCATCTCCAATATTCATTTACCTAAGAGTAGGAAATAAAGGACACAACTGATGCTGGTTGAATTGCAGGACTTGCTTTCTCTATATCCACCATGATATTTCTTAGAGGAGATGACCATCAGTAGGAGGATGAGTCTAAGCCCTGGTTTGGCTTGCCAGAAGATGTGGGCAGAGAGGGATTTTGTTGAACTGAAATATGTAAGGTCTTATTACTTATTTAGCCAAAGTCTTCTTCAATCAATTAATCAACAAGTAGTTATAAAATGTATGTACCAGACATTATGCTAGACCTGGGGATACAGTCCCTGACCTCAGGGAGCTTACTTTCTATCAGAGAAGATAACATGTACATAAATAAGTATATACAAAATAAATACAAGATAATTTTTTTTGGGGGGAGACTACTAGGTAGAGGAAGAGATTAGGAAAGGTTTCGTGGAGAAGGTATCATTCGAACAGTTTTGAAGAAAAGCCTTTAAATATTAAAATAAAAATGTTTATTTGATCCTTGAGGTAATAGGAAGCCAATGGAGTTTACTGAGCAGGGAAGTGACATTATGAAACTAATGCTTTAAGACAGTGGTTCTCAAAGTGTAGTCTGTGAACCTTCAGGGGCCCTTGATACTCTTTATAGGGGGGCCCTAGACTCTTTCATTAGATCAAACTTATTTTTATAATAATATTAAAATACTACTTACCTATTAAAATACTATTCCCTTTTCCAATTACCTATCTGTGTGAGGCTGGACTTTCTTCATATGCTTCAACCAAAATAACGTACTGAGACATACTGAATGCAGAATGAGAATCTAACTGTTGTCTATTAAGCCAAATATTAAAGAGATTCACAAAAATATGTAAAACAATGATACTCTTCTCACTAAATTTTTTGTTTTGGAAGAGTTTTCATAAAAAATGTTATTTATGTTAACATGTCATGGGCTTGTGTTATTGCTATTTTAAAATGAATCAATACTTATTTTAAAAATATATCAGTTTTAATTTCTAACAATTTAATTTACACATAATTAGTATTTTAAATTTAACATTTTATTTAATATAACAATTTAATTTCTAATAGATAGATACAAGAGCCAGTGGTGTGATAGAGCCAGATCATTCAGTTTCCGAAGAACCAATTGTTAAGCTTTTTAGTGTGTGTGGGGGCAGCTAGGTGGTATAGTGGATCCGGCCTCTGACCAAACACTTAACACTTACTAGCTGTGTGACCTTGGGCAAGTCACTTAACCCCAATTGCCTTTAAAAAAAAAAAAAGATTTTCAGTGTGAATGTTTTAAACACAAAGCATTTGAAAAATGCTACAAATCAGGGCTCAATTTACTGTTTTGTAGATTGCCTGGACTTAAGAAAGTGATAGAAATGTTTATAATTCAGAATTAATTATGCAAAGTTAATTAAACTTAAGGGTTATATGTATGGTTTGGTTTTTTTTTTTCAGAGAGCTGGTTGTTAAATATTTACCAGCACACTGCTTGCATATAACCCACATACACAAGAGCTCTTTGGCATCTTCTGTGGACCATCTCCCCTTGTCCTCTCCAGCAGATTGCCCCCATCCACTCTCTTCCCTCTCTCTCCAGTCTTCAGTCTCTTCCTCTCTACTGGTTCCTCCCCCCCAACAATCTACAAATAAACCTAAGTTTCTTTCATCCTTAAAAACAAAACAAAACAAAACAAAACAAAACAAAACACCCTACCATTACTTTCTCAGCCAAACTCCTGAGAAAAGCTTCCTATGGTACTACCCATTTCCTGTCCTCTCATCCCCATAGCCACTACCTCAGTTCACACCTTTGTCACCTGTTGGGGGGAGGATAGCAATACTTTGTGCTAATTGGTCTCCCCTGCCTCAAGTTTCTCCCCCATGCTTATCCATCCTCCCACACAGGTACCAAAGTGATTTTCCTACAATAACAGTAGTTGGAAAATAGTAAGCGCTTAACTAATGCTTGTAGACTTGACTCCATTCTACGAAACTCAGAGGCAGAGTAAACCCTTGGGCCTTTGAGCCAGAAGGGAAAGGGGGATGGCGGACGATCTCTAAGGTCCCAGACAGCTCTTAATCTAGATTCCTCATCCAGGATTTGCCAAGCCCCGGGAGGGGAACAGCACCAGCTGCCAATAAAGTTGCGCCGGTTTTGAAAGAGGGGGCGGGGCTTCGTGCTGTCATGGCCGCCCCCATTAGGGACACCCACGTGGTGTCGGTTTGCGGAAGAGGCGGTGGCAGAAGCCATGGCGGCGGCGCGGGCCCCTTCACGTGGTGGTGAGTTCCCGTATCCACGACCCCACTCCTCACCGCCTCCGCCTTAAGTCCGGTCCGGGACGGGCGCGGGCTACGTTAGAGGAGCTGGGAAATGGAAAAGTGGGGAAAGAGAGAAGGAAGGGAGGGGTAGAAGAAGGGATGGAAGGAAGGAGGCCCGCAGCGAGCCGCGCCGCCCGCGCCTCCGCGCGTTGCTCCGGCCGATAGGAGTGTCACGCAGCCGGCACGGAATCCGTGCTGGGTCTGGACGGCACTTTTGAGATCAACTCCAGACCAACTCTCTTCTTCCCCTGTAACCTCCCCTTCATTTTGCGTGTGGAGAGACTGAGAACCAGGGAGGAGAAAGTGAATTACGATCCTTCAGTCAGCCTGGAAGCAGTTAATAAGCGCCCACTATGTATCAATCAATAAGCACTTATTAAGTACCTGCTAAGTGCCAGACACTGGGCTAAGCCCCGGGGAGGGGAAAAGTGGCAAAAGACAGCCCAGCCCTCAAGGAGGATGGATGTATTTGTTTGTTTTTTAAATATTTATTTTTAACATTCATTTTTTTCCGAGTTCCGAATTCACCCCACCCATTGAGACAGCCATCGATATATCAGTTACACATGTGCAGTCCTGCAAAATATTTCTATATTAGCCATGTTGCAAAAAAGGCAAGAAAAATAAAGTGAAAAAATTACACTTCAGTCTGTTCACAGAGATGAACTTCAATTTAATTAGTTTCCTTTGCAATCCTGTCTTTTATGCATTTAACAGCAATATTCTGAGATGTCATTTAGGTTAATCTAATGGGAGAGACAATATGCGAAGAAATATACAAAGCAAGCTATAGTCAGAATACAGAGGAAATAATTAAAAGAGGGAAAGTACTGGAATTAAGAGGAATTGGGGAAGGCTTCCTGGAAGAGTTGGGATTTTATTTGGGACTTAAAGGAAGGGGCTGGGGAGTGTCTGTAGTTAGAGTTGAGGAGGGAGACTATTGTAAGCATGGAGGACAGCCAGAGAAAATGAAGAGATGGAGTGTCTTGTTGGTGGAACAGCCACACCCTCTGCTAAGCCCTGGGGATGCAAAGAAATGTAAAAGACAGCTCCTGCTCTCAAGGATCTCGTAGTCTGTTATTTGTTGTTGTTCAGTTATGTCTGACTCTTTGAAACCCCATTTGGGGTTTCCTTGGCAGATACTGGAGTGGTTTGCCATTTCCTTCTACAGCTCATTTTACAGATGAAGAAATGAGGCAAACAGGATTAAGTGACTTGCCCAGGGTCACACAGCTAGTATGTGTCTGAGGCTAGATTTGAACTTAGGTCTTCCTGACTCCAGGCCTGGTGCTCTCACCCACCACACCACCTAGTTCCCCCTATAGTCTGTTAGATAATATGCAAACAACTATGTACAACTAAGATATATACAGGATAAATTAGAAATATATTGGAAATAATGAGAAGGAAGGCACTAATCTGGAGTCCATGAATTTGTTGATTTAAAATATTTTGATAATCACATTTCATTGTAATTAGTTTGTTTTGTAATCTTGTCTTCTGAGGTGTCATTTAGGCAGCTAAATGATTAGTACATTGAGCTTGGAGTTAGGAAGACAAATTTTAAGCATTATTACCCCACGCAAAAGTCAGTTAACCTCTGATTTCCTCTGTTTCTTCATCTGTAAAATGGAGCTAATTGATAGTACCTATTTCCCTGGGTGGTTGTGAGAATAAAATTGAGATACCCATTAAAAAAAACAAAAACCTCCAAAATATCAGATTGTGGGCTCCTTTCTTTTTTCCTATTTAAATTCTTAGTGCTTAGCACAGTGTAGCACATAGTAGGTGCTAAATAAATGTTTATCGTCAACTATAGCATTTTGCAAACCTTAAAATGCTTTCCAAATACTATTATTAATTTTAACATAACTGGGCTTTTAAAAAATGGGCCCATATATTTTGCTTTCTGCATTTAAAGACGGATCCATAGGCTTCACGGGACTGCCAGAGGGGTCCATGACAAAAAAAGCTGAGCCCTTTCTCTAAAATAACATCCATTTTACTGTCCCAGGCTGCTGCTTGTGTACCTTAACTTAGATTTCTCCAGGATGCCTTCTGAATCCTGAAACTTATCTTAAGTTTTCTGACCACATTTTGCTGCAGTCAACACCTCCCCTCTGTCCCAGCTACTTATAGGAGTTTATCATAGAATGTAGAGTTTGAAGAGACCATCTAGGTCAATTCCATCATGTATACATGAAGATGCTGGGTCAGGGAGATGCTAAATGTTTTGCCTTCTATCCTACAACCTGTGTAGTGAAAGAGTCAGAATTTGAACCCTGCCCTCCTGACTCCCAAGCAAGTATTCTTAATGCCTCTACTAGCCAAGGGCATGATCTTCTGCCCCCATAACCCTTTTTCTGCCTTTACAGGTGACTTTGCTATTCTACCACCTTCCTGTTTACTGGTTCTCTGAGAGCAATGCTTCTTATTTTCTTCTGCTTCTCAACCATTCCTTTCTTCCGTGGGTATTTGGATCTTTAGAAGTTACAAAATGCCATTTGCCTTGCTCCTCCAATTCCTAACTCATATCCAAATTTCACTAAAAGCCCATCGCCCCTCTCCATGGAATGTAGTTCACAATGAAACTCTTTGGGGCAGGAATTCTAAACCCTTTTTGGCAGTGTGACAAAACCTTTGGACCCCTTCCCTCAGTAATGTCTGCTGCCTACATTCGTAATTGAAGGAAATGCTAAATTTCATTAGAGGCTAATGAAAATAAAGATGTAATATTTTTTTTCTGTACAAGTTCATAGGCCCATGTAGGTATTCTGCTGAAAGGTCTGGAAACGGAGACGTTCAGCAAGTTCTGTGTTTATTAAACATTTACCTTGTGTTTTTGGCTGTGCTGGGTATGGGGGAGGGCAAGTTAGCTGAAAGTTTTGACCACTTGGTCTTATGGGAGCTTAGATTCTTTCGTAACTCGTGGCCTATAATAATTAATGCCTATTGATTGATTGTTAGACTGTACTTAGGTTTTATGCAGAAACTACAGAATAATCAGATTTGCCATTCTGTGGTGCAGGAATTAGGTATTCAGAGAAGGGAAAAACAGATCAGGCAGTATGCTTTAGTGAAAGAATTATTGGATTAGGTATCCGGAGACCAGAGTTCTTCTGATCCTGGTTCTGCTAAACCATTGACTGGCTAGCTGGGTGAACTACAGCAAATCATTTAGAAAAGCAGTGAGGGAGTTAGGAGACCTAGGTTTGAAGCCTGACTCCTGCTTTATTAGCTATCTGATCCTGGGGCAAATCTCTTAAACTGTCTTTGAACCTCAGTTTCTTCTTCCATAAAATGGGGCTAATCCTATTCCTTCTACTGAACTTGCAGGGTTGTAATGAAAGTGTTTTGTAAACCTTAAATTGGTGTATAAATAACAATAATAAACTTACTTGGTCTCAGTTTCCTCATTTGTAAAATGATGACCGTACACTACATGATCCTTCCAGGTCTTTTCTAGCTTGTGACATTCTGTGATCCTGGGATGTCGTCATTCAGAGAAGAAGTCCAGTGTCCTCATTTTATTTTTATTTTTTTAGGCAATCGGGGTTAAGTGACTTGCCCAGGGTCACCCAGCCAGTAAGGGTCAAGTGGTTGGTCTGAGGCCGGATTTGAACTCAGGTCTTCCTGACTTCAGGGCCGGTGCTCTATCCACTGTGACACCTAGCTGCTCCTAATGTCCTCATTTTACAGGATGAGGAAAGGAAAACTTGTAAAGGTGAAGGAACTTGTCCAAGGTCACGTAGGTGAGTGACTCACAACAACCACATTAGGTAGAGCAAGAGTTATCTCCATTTTACTGATGAGCAAACTGAGAAGCAAAATACCCTGTGTCCTTGGGCAAGTTGAAGGGCGGAGCTGGAACTAGAACTCAAGTTAATAACAACATAAACAGCAGTAGCCTAATGCCCTTTCCACTCATGTCTTGTGTGGATTTTAAATTTTGTTGATAGGCCAGTTGAGGGCTCAGTATTTGGTATACTGTGAAGAGCCCTGGGTTAGAGGCAGGCTTAGCTCTGCCACTTACTAGCTGTTTGATCACTTAATTGAGCCTCCTTCAACCTCCGTTTCCTCATCTAGAAAATGGGAGGCCAGCATATTGAATGAGATGACCATCAGGGTCCTTCCTTAAGAGTGGTGTGGTAGATAGAGTGCCGGGCGTGGAGTCAGGAAGACCTGAGTTTAAATCTGGCTTCAGACATCTACTGGCTGTGTGACCCTGGGCTAGTTGTTTAACCTCACTTTGCTTCTGTTTCCTCATCTGTAAAATGGGGACAACAATGGCACCTACCTCCCAGGGTTGTTGTGAGGATTAGGTGAGATAATAATTGTAAAGTGCTTAGCCCAGTGCCTGATGCATGGTAAGTACTACATAAATGTTAGCTGTTATTATTATTACAATAAATTGATTCAGGCAGAAGGCAGATGAGTTTGAGAAATGCCTATACACAATTAAGAACCTTTTCTGTGCGTGGGTAAGATGGAAGGATGAAGATTGGTCTTGTTTGGGGGGTAGGGAGGGTGTTTTGGGTTAGAAGGATAGAAGGAAGGCACAAAGCTCTTAATACCAAAGAGAATTTGGTAAGTAAATAAGGAAGATGTAAGCCGAATGTCTTGGGAGCCTTGAGGAAGGATAGATGACATCCAGCTGATGGAGGAGATTGAGTCTGAACTGGGGCTTAAAGGATGAGTAGCATTCTAACACATGGAGTTGGAAGTGGGGGCAATGGGGGTGCATTCCAAATACAGGGAAGATTGTGGAACAAAGAAAAACTCGGGAGAAACCACAGCATGTATCTGAGGGATGATGGAAAGTCAAGTTGAAATGTAGAGCACGTGAAAGGGAATAAGAGATAAGACTGGGTGCGTCCCTTGGTTTTAAGTCTGTAGAAGGCCACAATGCAAAGTCAAGGAATCAGGGAGTAAAGAAGATAGAGTTGGGCATGGGGCAGTGCAGAGAGTGCCAGATTCGAATCAGGTGGTCTTGGTTCAGATACTCTCTTTGTTATTTATTTCTCGGGCAAGTGAATTGAGTCTCAGTTTCCTCATATGTAAAATGGAGAGGATTGGATTAGGTGGCCAAGGAGACCCCTTCTCGTTCTAAACCTATGATCTTAGAGTTTGGGATTTATTTTCTATCCAGTGGGGAGCTATCAAAGGCTTTTCATCAGAGCTAGGCTTGAGGAAGATCATTATGTAGGAAGGGTGAATTGTAGGAGAGTGGAGACCGCAAGACCTTTTGAGAGGCTATTGCAGTGATCCTAGTAGTGTTGGATGGGAGTAGGGGTAGTCAGGGAATGCTGATGACAGAGCTTGTGGAAGTGGAGTTGACAGGACGCGTGGCTCATGAGAAGTGTGGGAAAAGGAGGGTTTAAAGAGAAGGAGTCACCGGGAGACCAGAGATGGAGGAGTCAGAAGAAGGAACAGATTTAGGGGAAGAGAGAAGTTTAGTTTAGGTTATGCTGAATGTAAGGTGCTAGAGGGAGTGATGTCCTGTAGACAGTTGGATTGGAGCTTGGGACAGTCTTTTGGGGCAGCTGGTGGCCCAGTGGATAGAGCACTGGACCTGGAATCAGGAAGACCTGAGTTCAAATGTGACCTCAGAAACTAAACTAGCTGGGTGACCCTGGGCAAGTCACTGAACTGTGTTTGCCTCAGGTTCCTCATCTGTCCAATGAGCTGGGGAAGGAAATGGTGAAGCACTTAAGTATCTCTGCCAAGAAAACCACAAATGGGTTCACGAAGCGTCAGACACAGCTGAAACAACTAAACAACAAAATGCTAGCTATTGTTATTATTTGAACAGATGGTTATTTTTATGTTTTTGTAATTATTATTGGGACAGAGATCAGGTCTGGAAGTAAAGATCTGGGTGTTAACTGCATAGAGATGGTAGTTGGAGCGTTGAGGAAAGATGAGATGACCAAGGGAGAGAATGTAGAGAGAAGAGAAAGAAAATAGGGATGGAATCTTGAGATTCCTACATTATGGGGTACGAGGAGGATGAAAAACCATCAAAGAAGACCAAAGGAATGGTAAGATGTAGGAGAAGCGTCAGAGCATCTGAGTTCAAATTCTGGCTCTTCAATTTAATCTTTGTGACCTTGGGCAAGTCATTTCATCTTTTAGGACCTAAATTTTCTAATCTCTAAAAGGAAGGAGTTGAATAAGATGATTTTGAATATCTCTTCTTATTCTAAACTCTATGAGCTAGAGGAGTATGGTATCAAGAATGCTAAGAGGGGAGTATCATGTATTAGCCTTCTTGGTTTCCTGTCTCCTCTTCCTCCCATGCTCCCGAGTCCTCAGTTACCTCTTGCTTAACAGCAATATTGTTTTAAGAACAACTTTGATTAAGTAATTTTGACTGTTATAAATACCCAAATTAACTACAAAGAACATGTAAGGGAAGATGCTATCTGCAGCCAGAGAAAGAACTGATACATAGAAGTATGCATAGAGTGATTTTACACACACACACACACACACACTCTCATTTGTGTCTAATGGTAGCCATCTCTAGGGTGGAGGGGAGGTGAGGAAAAAAAATAAATTTACCTGATAACTTTATTATATATTTAAAAGGAATAGCAAGTTGTATATAATAGATTTGCAGTTTCATGTGTAATCATTTTTAAAATTATGCTGTGATGGAAGTGCTTGTTTTATTCTATAAATTAAAAATAAAAACAAAATTACCTCTCACTTGAGCCGGTTTTAGAAAGGGAAAATCTGCATTATCTGTTCTGACTTAACCGTTTGTCTTTCTTTTTTTTTTTCCTAAGGAATCACAAAATTCAAGAAACGGAGACGGTTTCTGCCCTCAGCTAGATTTAGGAAAAAGGGAATAAAAGTTGTAGGAACATGGAAACCTGTGAAGATTGACCCACATGTGTTTGCTGATGGGCAGCTTGAGGACCTGGTGTGTTTTGAAGAGCTTCACGATTATAAATTGGTAGGTGCCTCAAAACTTTCATCGAAAGAAAAACCCAAGAAGAGAAGGTCTGGTGCTGGGGTGTCTGAGGGGGAGGTAGAAGAAACTGCTTCCCAGCCGAAAAAGAAGAGGAAGAAGAGTCGAGATTGGGGGACAGAGACAACTGTTAAGGAGGAGGAAGAGAACCCTTCACTTGCAGATGAAGACCTAATTTCCCAGGAAGATGTACCCCAAGATGCACTTGCCGCAGACCATGAGGATGCTCCCCAAGAAGGTGGAGTTATAGAAACCGTAAGCCCTCCCAAAACTGTTCAGAAAAAGAAGAAAAAAAAGACAGGGAAAAAAGCACAAGCATCTTCCCGGACTGCTCCTTCAAAAGCTCCCCCTAAAGTAAAGAGTTGGACAACCAAGTCGGATGACCAGAAAGCTGATGTCTCTGCCTGGAAGGACCTTTTTGTGCCTGAGCCAGTCCTTAGGGCATTGAGCTCCCTGGGCTTCGGTGCTCCGACTCCCATTCAAGCTTTGGCCTTGGCACCTGCCATCCGAGATAATCTGGATATCCTGGGTGCTGCAGAAACAGGTGAGCTCTTCTCTTACTTGTAGGCAGAAAAGGAAACTTAGTGGAAATTTCGAGTCTGGGATTTGGGTCTGAAAACCTGAGTTTGAATCCTAGTTCATTAGATGATAGCTCTGCTTATATGTGCACGATTGTCCATAAGGCTGGATCTCTGTTGTTGAGTCGTTAAGTTAAGGTATAGGACACGTGTTTTGCCAGTTTTCAACAAAGGGAAGAGAATAGAATCTGTAAACTATAGACTAATGAGCTTGATTTCAATTCCTGGGGAAATTCTAGAATGAATTATTAAAGAGATAGTGAAGTAGAAAGGAAAGCAGTGGTTTCAGAGGGCCGGCACAATTTCATCCGGTCATGCCAAACCAACTTTATTTCATTTTTTGAACAGTTCCTAAATTGGTCGCTGAGGGGAATGTCATAGATACAGTTTACCTAGATTTTAGCAAGCTTTTTTCCCTACATCTTTAGAGTTTTTTAACGTGTCAGCTTGAGGAACAATTAAAGGAAAAATTATTTTAGATTGAAGGTGGAAGCGTCCAATGGATAAATCTTCTTTATTGGAGTTGTTGTTTTTGCATAGTCATTTTCAGGTGTGTCCGACTCTTCGTGATCCCATTTGGGGTTTTCTTGGCAAAGATATTGGAGTAGTTTGCCATTTCTTTCTCTAGCTCATTTTACAGATGAGGAAACTAAAGCAAACAGTTTTAATAATTTGTCCAGGGTCACACAGTTAGTAAGTGTCTGAGGCCAGATTTGAACTCATGAAGGTGAGTTTTCCTGACTCCAGGCCCAGTGCTCTACCCACTGCACCACCTAGCTGCCCCTTTATTGGAGTGCACCATTCAAATTGTCTCATTTGTCATCTTCTTTATAAAAAAAAAATGACATTTGTTCTGAACTTAAACACCAAATAAAATGAGCATTTCTGTTTACATAGTAGAATAGAAAAAGAGGATTGTACGTGAAACTGTGGATCTTCTGTATAGCTTGCTTTCCTTTTTAATATATAAAATTTAACCCATAGCTTTTAAAAATATCCTACTTTGCCTTCTTTCCTACTTTTTGTTGTTTTTAAAATTTTTTTAATTTTATTTTTTCCCTCAATTACAGGTTAGACCAATTTTTTAAAACTTTTTTTTATTAAAGTTTTGAGTTCCAAATTCTCCCATCCTTCCTTCCTTGCTCTATCTCCTCCCTGAGACAGTAAGCAATCAAATATAGGTTATACATGTGCAATCATGTAAAACATTCCCATATTAATCATTTTATACAAGAGGACTTGAATAAAAAAAAAGAAAAAGAAAGTGAAAAATAGTGTGCTTCAGTCTGTATTCCAACAATATCAGTTCTTTCTATGGAGGTGGATAACATGCTTCATTATTAGTCCTTTGGGGTTGTCTTGGATTATTGCATTGTTGAGAATAGCTTATATAGTTGAGAATTTAGAATTCTTCATCGTACAATAATGCCGTTACTATGTACAATGTTTTCTGACTTCTTTTTGTATCAGTTCATAGAAGTCTCTCCACCTACCTGGTGTTTTGCAAGCTTTGATAAGTGTTTCATCGTGGAAAAGGTGGAGTAGTGTGGACAAGGTAATAGTGCATTTAGACAGATTCAGAGCCAGTTGGATGGCTGGGCTTAGAGTAGTCATTAATGACTTAATGTCAACATGGCAGGACGTCTTCTGTCGGGGAACCCAGGGATCTTGTCTTGGCCCTCTGCTGTTTAACGTTTTTATCAGTGACTTGATTAAAGGTCCTCTCCAGTTCTATATTTTTATGATCCTAAGTATCTGTGATTGCTGGTAAAAAAAAAAAAAAGGCAGGAGGAAAAACATATTGTCTCTGACATAACTGTCCCTTTGTGACCAGTGACAAGGATATTAAAATCAGACTTGGACGTTCAGAAATGAGGACAATGAGACTTTTGAGTTGTTGGCAAGTGGTAACAGTCAAAGACAGAATATAAGTAGAATAGTTATATAAAAGGTTACTGTAATGGACCACTTCAGCCTTGACAGATTTCACAAAATCAGTCTGCCAGCAGTGGGAAGGTTGGGTTGTAGTGTGAAGGTGGTGAATGGCCAGAGGATCCAGGGATCTGAGTTTTTATCACATCTCTGTGCTTAATATGTGAATTTGTACAAGTCATGATTTCACTTTGAACTTGAGTTGTAAAATGAGGAGATTAGATTCCGTGATCTCTATGGGTACTTCTTGGTCTTTTTATTTTAGTTTTTAGAGGAGTAACTATCTAGAGTTGGGAAGGACCATCTAGTCCAATCTTTACCTATATAGAAACTCCCACTGCCTCCTACCCTGAACTCCTCCCTCGCCCCCAGTAAAGAGCCTCCCTAGTCAACCAACCTTTGTTTGAAGACCTCAAGTGAGGAACACCTTAGCTACCTCCTGAGACAGCCTGACCAGGCTTTTGGATAGCTATAATTGTGAGGATTTTTTCTTTTTATAGCAAGCCTAAATCTGCCTCTGCATTTTCTATCCATTCCTTTGGTTTTGCCAAGTAGAATAAGTATTGTCTTAAAGTACTTGAATACAGCTGTTATGTCCCCCCTGAGTTTTTCCCAGCTAAACATTCCTGGTCCTTTCAATCAGTTCTTATATGGCACTCTCTCTCCAGTCTCCTCAGCATCCTGATTGCCCTCTTTTAGAAGCTCTTCAGCTTTTCATTAGCCTATTAAAAGCCCAGAATATTGTGGTCTGATGAGCATATTGAGGCACTAGCTATCATGTTCTTGACATTTCTTTTCTTAACATAGCCCAAGATTTCCTTAACTCTTTTGGCTGATGATTTGTGTCAAGCTTCCTAAATAAATTGAATGTGCTTACCAAAACCTTGATTTTTTTTTATATATATGCATTTCCAGCTAGATATGCCTCCCTTAACTTGTATTTGTGAGGTTGATTTTTTTCATTTTTAGCGCAAGAATAGGACTTTCCATTTACCTCTGTTAAGTTTAACCATAGTAGATATGGCCTGTTGAGATCTTTTTTTTTTTTTGGTGAGGCAATCAGGGTTAAGTGACTTGCCCAGGGTCACACAGCTAGTGTCATGTGTCTGGATTTGAACTCAGGTCCTTCTGACTCCAAGGCCAGAGCTCTATCCACTGCGCCACCTAGCTGCCCCCGTTGAGCTCTTGATTCTGTCATCTATGTCCCTCTTAGCCTCTCATTGCCTGCTACTTTGATAAACTTCCTATCCATTCCTTTATCCAAGTCACTGATAAAAATGTTAAACAACAGAAGTTCTAGGACAGATTCCCCGAAGCATTCTGCTACCATTCCAAGTTGACATTGAGTGACCAATAACTACTCTTTGTGTCTAGTCTTTTAACTAGCTATGTTTCCAGCTCACCATGTAGTCATCTAGCCCATGTCTGTCCTTGTCTGAGATTTTGTCAGATGGCTTGCTGAAATATGAGTTAGCTGTTATTATATATGGCAGAGGGCAGCTAGGTGGCACAGTAGATAAAGTTCCAGGCCTGGAGTCAGGAAGACTCATCTTCCTGAGTTCGAATCCAGCCTCAGACCCTTACTAGCTGTGTGACCCTGGGCAAGTCACTTAACCGTGTTTGCTTCAGTTTCTTCATCTGTAAAATGAGCTGGAGAAGGAAATGGCGAACCACTTCAGTATCTGCTAAGAAAACCCCAAATGGGGTCACGAAGAGTTGGACATCCCTGAAATGACTGAACAACAACATTATCTATGGCATTCTTTTGATCTTGTAGTCTAGTAACCCTAAGAAAAAAAGGAAATTATTTTAATTTGGCATGTCCTATTTTTGATAAAACTATGTTATCTCATAGTGATTACCTCTTCCTTTTCTAAGTGCTCCTAAACATCCCCTTAATAATATGTTCTAGAATTTCGCCAGTAGTGAAAGTCAAACTCAGCTCCGCAGTGTCTGACATCTGACCCCTTTACTTTAGTTCAGGCCCCCATCATCTCTTCATTACATCATAGCTGGGTCCTGATTAGGGCAAAACAATGACTCCTGAAGTGGTTGTATGTATTCAGAATTGAAGTTAGAATTATGTAAAATTTGGTAATTGGTTGCAGCCCAGTTGAAATGTGCAGTGTGAATTCAAAGAATGCAGTGTCTTCATGGATTCATTATTCTTGCTAATTGGGACCTGACTGTAGTTTAATAACTTCCTAATTGGTCTCCCTGCCCCAAGGCTCTCCCCACTTCAATCTATTTTCCACACAGCTATCCAAGTGATTTTCTTAAAGTGAGAATCTGACCATGTTGCTTATTTCCTCAGTAAACTCTAGGGGTTCTCTGTTACCTCTAGGATAAATATAAACTTCTCTCTTTGACATTTATTGCCTTTTATGACATGGCCCCAGTTTATCTTTTCAGCTTTATTATTCACTATTCCCTTTTCTGCTCTCTTTGGTCTGGCCAAATTGACCTTCTCACTGTTCCTCATGCAAGATGGCTTCATCTCCCATCTCTGCCTTTGTATTGGCCATCCCATGTGCCTGGAGTATACTCTTTCCTCATCTCTGCCCCTTAGAACCCCTTTTCTTCTTTCAGGATTCAGCTTCAGCTCTACTTTTACACGGACCCTTTCCTCACCTCTGCAGCTGCTAGTGTCTTCCATCTCCAGACTTGTTGTTCAGTCATTTTTCAGTTGTGTCCGACTCTTTGTGACCCCATTTGGGGTTTTCTTGGCAGAGATACTGGAGCAGTTTGCCATTTTCTTTTCCAGCTCATTTTACAGATAAAAGAACTGAGACAAACAGGGTTAAGTGACTTGCCCAGGGTCACACGGCTAGTAAGTGTCTGAGGCCACATTTGAACTGGGGAAGATGAGTCTTCCTGACTCTCGGCCCTTCACTCTATCCATTGTGCCACCTAACTGCCTCCAAACTATCTTACATTTATATTTATTCTCTATGTATTTAAATATGTACTTGTTGTATCCCCTGATAAGCTCCTTGTGGGCAGCGCCTTGTTTGGTCCTTTGTATTTGTATCTCTGGTACGTGTCATGGCATTTGCTCAAGCAATGCGCATTAATTGATGGATGTGGAAGGGGGATTAGACGTGTTTTACTTGAGCCCCAAAGGTAGAACCAAGAATAGTGGTTTCCTTGTGATTAGATTTAGAGTCCTAAGAGAACTTAGAGGTCATCTGATTCCTGTCCTTCATTTTAGAGATGAGGAAACAGACCCAGAGTGATTGGCACATGGGCAGAAGTAGTAAGTTGCAGAGCTGGGATTGGAGCTGAGGTTCCTGACTCTAAATCAAGTGTTTTTTTCATTATACTGTATTGGTGGTATGGGCAGCCAGGTGGTATGCTGGATAGGGTGCTGCAGCCGGAGTCAAGAGGACCTGAGTTCAAATCCAACCTCAGTCACTTACTAGCTGTGAGACTCTGGGCAAGTCATTTAACCCTGTTTGCCTCAGTTTCCTCATCTGTAAAATGATCTGGAAAAGGAAATGGCAAACTGTTCCAGTATCTTTGCCAGGAAAACTCCAGATGGGGTCACAGAGAGTTGGGGACACGACAGAAAATGACTGAATGACAGCACCACCACCATCCTGCTGTTGAAAGTTTGAAACAGGCACATGTAAGGCATGGTGTCAGGATAACATCCTGACAGAGTTGTGAGGGCTGCTGTCTCTGCTGTAGAAGACTGCCCCTCATTCAGGGTCTTCAGGTGGATAGAGCACTAACTGGGAGTCAGGAAAGCCTTTATTCAAATCTGGCCTCAAGCACTTAGAAGCTCTGTGTTTTGGGCAAATCACTTAACCTCTGACTACCTCAGTTTCCTTACCTATAAAATGGAGATAAGGGTTGTTGTGAGGATCAAATGAGTTAATAATTGTAAAGTGCCTGGCATAATGCCTGGAACATAGGTGCTATGTAAATGTTAACTTTTAGTATTATTAGATGACCACTTGTCATATATGTTGTAGTTGGGGTTCCTTTGGTTTATCACTTGAACCCCGTGGCCATTACTTCCAACACTAAAATAATGTTACTCTGTGAGTACTTCTCCTGGTATATGGAATTTCTTATATCAGTATATTAATATCAATATTTCTGTGCATCATATCTCTCCTCACTCACATACCACTCCCCTTTTAATCCTGTGCCTTTTGAATATTGGGTCCCATGCACCAAGTGCCTCTACACAGCACGATATGGTGGCTGGTATGCAAGGTCTGGAGTTAGGAATACCTGGCCAGGTTCAGATCTTGCCTCATCAGACATTTACTAGTTTTGTGGTCCTACACAACCTGTCCCGGCCTGTTTCCAGATCTATGAAATGAGAATAAATAATAGCAAATGCTTTACCCGGTTGTTGTAAGGACCAAATGAGGCATTGCATGAGAAGTCCTATGCCCTATATAAATGTCCATCGCTGGTCTTACAAATTTAAGTGTAAACCTCTGAGGCCATGGGTCATGGGCATAAGGCATTTGATGATAGAGAGAGAGAGACAGTCTTCACTTTTTTGTTTACCTCTCTACGTCAGTGCTGTCATCTCTAAAATGGGCCTATTGATAATGGGTGCCTTGGCAACCTGTTAGGCTCTGTTAACTTTGTAGCAGAGACAGAGAGAGAAAGTGAGTGTGGGGTGTGTGTGTGTGTGTGTGTATGTGTGTGTGTGTGTGTGTGTCCCTCCCTCAGTTTCTTCATCTGTTAAGTAGGGTTACTGAACCTTGCATGACTGTCTAGTGATTTTGTGAGGAAAAAGTCTTTGGAAAACATTAGCCGTACCTTTAAGTGATACCGTGTCTTTGCATAGAGTAAGTACTTAATGTTTGTTGAATAGCCTTTTGTAAATTACAAAGCCATGATTAGTACTAGGTTTAAATCCCACATCATGATTATTATTATTATTGATAATAATAATAACATAAATATGGTGTTATTATTAACAGTAGTAACACCACATTTATGTAGTGTTTTTCGGTTTGCAAAACACTTTATTAGTATTATCTCATTTGATCCTCACAACAGCCTTGGGAGGTATGTGCTGTTATTGTCTTTATTTTACAGATGAGGAAACTGAGGCAGACAAGGTAAGGAACTTGGCCAGCGTCATGTATATAGCTCTTAGGACCTGAGGCCAGATTTGAACTTGGGGTCTTCCTGACTCCAGGCCTAGCTCTCTACCCCATCACATACCTGTCCCTAGATATTTCACAGGGAAAGGGTGCTGTTTGCACTCTTTACTTAAATGTTTTGTAAAGTATAAAACATTACAGAAATGTGAGTTGCTGTTATGATGGCTACCATCACTGTCATCAACATTATCTTTGTTACAATAGTAACGGTTTTTGTTTTTTTTTTGGACCAGACCTGTGATTTCTTTGGTAGAGATAGCTCCCAGGGAGGAAACTGCATCTAGTAATGCAGATTAGCACTTGTTCTGTAACTTAGAGTCTTAGAGAATTATCTGGGGTCATTGAGAGGATAAGCACCTTGTCCAGGGTCACATAGCCAATATATGTCAGAGGTAGGATTTGAACCTTTGTGGCCTGGAGGCTAGCTATCCATTCCGTCATCATGGCTGCTCAATAGTCGTGCTAGTATGTCTAGCTGCGTAACTTGTCTCTAGGGCCATCTGCTGCTCAAAGCAAAGCAAAAAAAATCCCAGTCCTGAACTGCTTGTATTTTTCTGTTGGCTCTCTTTTCTTCCTCCAAGGAAGCGGGAAGACCCTTGCCTTTGCCATCCCGATGATTCACTCAGTGTTGCGCTGGCAGGAGGAACAGAAGCAGGCTAGCCAGGAGCAGGCCGAAAGTCTCTCTGAGGATGGAGAGTCGTTGGTGGATGTGGACGGTTCTTCTGACGACGGGAGTGAAACGTCGAACCCTCTGCCAGGGGAAAGGGAAGAAGAGGAGGACGGAGACCCATCTCACAATCCAGGCGACATAAAGCTGGAGTTGGATGAGGAAAAGCCTGCTCATCACAGAAATCGAAGTAACCCTCTGCTTGGACTTGTTCTGACACCCACTAGAGAACTGGCCGTCCAAGTCAAACACCATATTGATGCTGTGGCCAAGTTTACAGGTAAACTTCCCTCACGTCTCTCTCCCCGTGTGGCCTTGTGTTGTGGTTACCTGGGCCCCCTACCTGGTAGGCACTAACTTCATGGTAAATTAGCTGATTTTAAAAGTTTTATATTTTAGAGAAGAACATGGTGACGTTTAGCCTTTACCTCATCCTGAAAGCTACCACAGTTACTGAGTCACAAGAAATGTGGTTTTCCAACTCATCAGAATGTGGTAATTATAATAATTACCTTTTTTCTGCTACTGATGATAGCCATACATATATGTATATGTATATTATATATGTATAAACACACACATATCTATGTATATCTGTGTGTATATATACATGTGTATGTATCTATGTATATGTGTATATATACACATATATATTATCTTACTCAGTAAGATAATACCTATATATTATCTTACACAATTCTCACAACAACCTTATAAAATAGGTGGAAATCATTCTCATTTTATAGATAAGAAAACTAGGAGCCAGTGAGAGAAAACAGCTTGTCCAGAATCATGCATCTAGTAAGGGCTCCTGACCCTCAGTCTGGAGTTCCTACTGTTTGTACTGTCTCAGCTTGATCTAACCCCTGATTTAATTTATTTAAACAGAATATGAATAGCTACGAGGTGGCAGAGTAGAAAGAGAACTGATTGGAGCTAGGGGACTTGGGTTCAAATTCCATTTCTTGTGCTTTGTGCTTTGCTTCTCCAAGCAAGATAGCAGTTTATTAGTAGGGCACGGAGTTGTGGGTCTAATGACGGCCTCAGGGTGAACCCAAGACCAGTGATTGGAGATGTAACTTCTTTTTATAAGCATAGAACAAAGAACAGAACAGGGCAAGTGAGGAAATAGTACAATTGATTATAGGGTTGGCATCATCATGGGAGGGTGAGGAATTATGATTGGTTATACCAAGGAAAATGGGCCTGCACACATATGGGACCACCACTCTCTGCTTCATGGATTTTTGGGACCCAGCTGGTTCCTGAGGCTGTTGATAGCAGACCAGGGATAGTAGACTCACTCGCTCCTGGGAATGAGAGAAAACCACCTTTAATTGGGCAAGGATAAGCAAAGATGGGACCAGGTCAAGGATAACAGAAATGTCATGGAATTTCTTAGGAGATGAAATTATGAAGGATAACAAGTTTCCTTGGCACAAAGTGATTTGCGGGTAGTGCTGAGATAACAGTTCCATTAGAATCAGTGTTATATGAGAGTATTGAACCCCTAAACTTAGCTCAGAGTTTTTCTTTTTCTTTCATTAAAAATGATCAATTGGAAAACCAAACTTCTGCCTCTGACTTGAGAGACGGAGACTGAACTTTTGAACCCATGAGCGTCCTCGCTCAGAGACAAAGAAAAGGTTTAGGTTGATATATAAAATATAAAATGACTCAAATACAGAATATATGTAATTTTCATGGCTTACTAGCTTTGTGACATTGGGTAAGGTGTTTAACCTCCCTAGGCCTCAGTGTCCCCAACTGTAAAATGAAGAGGTTACACTAGATGACCTTAGGTGCCTTCTGTCGATTAGTCAATCAGGATGATAATGATGATAGGTGACATTTATGAGGTGCTTACTATGTACCAGGCAATATGCTAAGTGTTCATGATCCTCACAACAACCCTGTTGTGATTATCCCCATTTTACAGATTCTGTAGTCAGGATACAGTTTACAAATACAGGAAACTGAGGATGACCAAAGATAAGTAGCTTGCCCAGAGTTACACAGCTAGTAAATATGTGAGGCTGGATTTGAATTCAGGTCTTCATGATTCCAGGCCCGGTACTCTTATTTGTTAAGGATTTACAAGTACCATCCTAGGTTCTGGGGATCCAGGCACAAAAAAATGAAACAATCCTTAGCTTCAGCTTACATTTTAATAGGTGAGATAACAAGTGCATATACAAATATATTCACCATAAAGTTAATAAATAAAAATATATACAAAGTGGTTAAATATAAGGTAGTTTGGGAGAGAGAGAGAGCTTTAGCTGGTGAGGGGATGAAGAAAGGTTTCATGTAAATGATGGTATTTGACCTGTGTCTTAAAAGCGAGGACTTCTGTGAGGTAGCCGGCATTCCAGGGAGGGGGATGGTGAATGCAAAGGCTTAGAAATGGAAGCAGAGTGTATTGTGTGCTGAACAGAGAGTAGGGCAGTTTAACTGGATTTCAGAGTGGGGGAAAGCCCATCGAGGCTGGATCTTGTTTGGGGACAGTTTGTGCAGGGCTTTAAAAATGAATGAGTGGAGTTTATCCTGAAGACAATAGGGGGAGTCTCGTGTTTAGACCTGCATGCCAGGAGAACTAACTCTAGGTCCGTGAACCAAAGGGGACTTTTTCACCATTCTGTCTTCTTCTCAAGGCAGAATCTCTTGAAAGACATGAAAAAATATCAACTACTTCATTTCCCAGTGGGTTTTTATTTTTTTCTTATCACTGGTGGTTCTTAGATTCATGCCACTTGTTTCGGAACTCATGCAGTGTTTGGGTGTGAGTGTGAAGAGAGGGACTGAGGTTTTGTTTGTCCCAAGATCAGGCCTGTCCCATCCCCCTCCCCTTTCTGTTACCTAGAATCCCACACATCCGCCATGTGGACTGTCCTCAGGTTGCTTTGTTGGGCTGCTTCAGGGTTCTTATTGGATCAAGTCCCTTGTCAGTGTCAAGGGCCCTGCCTTCCAACTCCTTGGTCTTTTAGCAGCTCCTAGGCTTGCTGGCAACTCTGGCCCCAGGAAGGCTGCACATTCTTGTTCAGTGTAGGCATTTGAAAGCTGACATGTTAAGTGCTTACTGTGGATATAGTTTGCCTCATCAGTAGCATCCAAATTGCTTACCCTGGTATTCAACACCCTTCACAGATTTGGCTCTAGCTTTCACTTTCACTAATAATTACAGTGGAGGCTCTGTTTTGGGGAAATGGTGGTAAATAAGATTGGTTAAATAGGATTAACCTTATCTATCTCTGTCTCTCCCTGTCTCCTCTTACTCTCCCTCTTTTTTCTTTCCCTTCTTTCTTTCTAATTCTCCCCATCACTTCTCTCTCCCTGTTTCCTCTCCTTCCCTCTCTCCCTTTTTTCATCTCCTTCCTGTCTCCCTTCCCTTTTTGCTTTCCCTCTGCCTTCCTCTTTTTTCCCTCCCTTCCTTTTCTGTCTTCCTTTCTCCTCCCCTCCCTCTTTTTGCTTTCTCTCCCCTCCTTTCTCTTGGTCTCTTTTCCTCTCCCTCTCCCTTCCCCTTTTTGTCTCTCTTGTTCCATATCCCAATATTCTTTAAAGTGGATATTCTCTGATTTCTGTTCTTGACTCTTCTTTCTCTCTATATGTAATGTTTGCAAACCCTAAAGTGTTCTATTAATGTCAGCTATTATTTTTATTTTTTATTATTACTTTGTTCTGAACTTAAGAAATTAAACAAGCATTTCTGTAACATAGTAGAATAGAAAAAAAGATGATTGCTCATAAAATTGCATATCTATTATGGACAACTTGCTATTCCTTTTAAATATATAATAAAGTTATTATGTAACTTTCCTCCCTACCCTCCCACCCATGGCTACCATTAGACACAAATATGTATATATATGTAAAACCATTCTATACATATTTCTGTTTATCAGTTCTTTCTCTGTGTACAGATAGTATCTTCTTCCATAGGTCATTAACTTGGGTATTATATTAATTTGGGCATTTACAAATGGTCAAAATGACTTAGCTGCTCAGTTTTTCTTAAAACAGTATTGGTATTACTAATGTTGTCTTGGTTCTGTTTATTTTGCTCTTCCTTATTTCATGCAAGTCTATCCATCCTTTCCTAAGATCATCGAGCTCATCATTTCTTACAGCACAGCATCATGATCGTATACCACAGCTCGTTCAGCCATTCCCCAATTGATGGGCATCCCCACAATTTCCAGTTCTTTGCCACCACAAAGAGAGCTGCTATAACTGTTTTAGAACATACAGGTTCTTTTTCTTTTTCCCTAATCATCTGGGGAAATAGACCTAGTAGTGGTATTGCCTGGCCAAGGAGTATGGCAGTTTAATGACTCTTTGGGCATAATTCCAGATTGTTCTCCAAAATGGCTGGATCAGTTCACAGTTCCACCCATAGTGAATTAGTGTCCTAATTTTTCCACATCCCCCCCAACATTTTTTGCTTTCCCCTTCAATCATTTTAATCAATCTGATAGGTGTAAAATGATATCTCAATGTTAGCTATTATTGATAAATGTTAATCTCTCAGCACTTTCATTCACTTCCATACATAGCTTCATTTACTCCCTCTAAATCCGTATCTTTTGCCCTGACCTTAGAATATTAGAATGCAAGCTGCCTGTTGGCAAGGATTGCTTTAGTCATCGTATTTGTATCCTTAGTGCCTGACTCATAGGAGGCACTTAGTAAATACTTATTCATCGATTGATTGACTGTCTTAAGTTCCTGGAAGCCACCTTTAGTCCCCTTGGTTGGTACCAACCCTTGGATCTTACCTCTGCCTTATGTTTTGTACCTCTCCATTGTGTTCATCATGTAACGTTGTGTACAGAAATCACCTGTGTTTGTGTCTCATCCCCCCCCCCCATGAAACCCAGAATGCCATTAGAGTGGATACTGTGTCTTATCTGAGCTCTGTGTCTTTCTCAGGACTTTTCATAGTATTCTGTACTCATGAGGCACTGGGTAAATGCTAAATTGAGTGATGTTATGAAAGACATTCTAGAAGAGGATTTGGGGTGTTGTCTGTTGGTCTCTCCTCTGCCATTCAGTTGCTGTGTGACCTTGAAGTTTCATCTCTGTGGGTATCCATTTTCTTATCTGTTAAGTGAAATTTCAGTAGATGACCTCTGAGGTTCCTTCTGATTCTAAGAAATATTAGAAAAATGATATAAATATCATTTTACTCTTTTATAGGCCAGCCAGCATTCCAGTTGTATAAAGTGGTTATTCCTTGAACATACCTCATATTTTCTTGCCTCTTAGCTTTTGCTCATGGCCTTCCCTTCAGTTGGATAACCTCTAGAGCTTTCCCCATATCCCTCTTCCCAGCTAAGAGATGTGGGGTAGGTAAGAGATAGTGAATGAGGTAGATTCTGAACCATCTGAATGCCTACACTCAAATGACAGTCACTAATGGTCCGCTGTTCATTTGGAAGGCAGCCTGCAGAGGAGGGCCCCGAGGATCTGTGCCTGGGCCTGTGCTGTTTACCATTTATAGCAATGACTTGGATAAAGGCAAAGATAGCATCCTAGTAAAACATACAGATGACACAGAGCTAGGAGGGATGATCGGCAGCCTGGATGTCAGAGCCCAGGATTTAAAAAACAGCTTGACAAACTAGAAATGGGAACACATGGCTAGATAACAATTCGTTTGAAAACTATCTAAGGATTTGCATGAATTTTTTTTTTGAAAATTTTAAAATTTTAAACTTAAATACAAAATGAGAAAAGAAAAAAATTACTGCCATGTACACAGAAGATCATAAGAGAGGATTCAGTATAAAACAATAAATTTCCATTTAAAGAAAACCTATATATATAATGAATACTACACACTGTTTTCAAAGCTGCCCAGCTTTTCTTTGCTTCCTTGTTGGTTTTCTTTTGTTCTTTGCTGTGCACTTTTTCCTTTATTTTTTCCCTTCCTTCCTCCCTCCCCCTAAAGAAAGCTACAATTAAGGGTGTGTGTATGTATGTGTGTGTTTGTATGTATACACACATATGTACATATGTATATACACACAGATATCTGTAAACATACACATATATGTAAAACTGTACTGTGCTTATTTCTACCTGTCATCTCTTCTCCCTGAAGGTAGATAGCAGCTTCCTTCGTAAGTCCAAGTCTTTCCATGTTTTTTCTAAATCAACCAGCTCATCTTTTCCTACATCACAGTAATATTCCAACCCAGTCATATCCTGTCTTAGAGATTGTCTATGAAAGTTTTCCCCAATTTTCTACATTCCTTCTATTCTTGGCTACATAGGTTTTATTTAGACAAGAAAATTTTAATTTAAAATAATCGAAATTATTCTTTTTTACGCTTCAACAATGTTCTCCCTTGTAGTATAGTTTAAGGTCGAATACTGCTGAATGTACTTCATTTACATCTTTTTTCCTGGTTTCTTTGAAGTTCCTGACTTTTTGCTCTTCCAAATGAACTTTGTTATTATTTTTTCCTGAGTAAAATAATTTGGTTTGAATGAATTCTTAAGGTCAGTGAGAGTCAGCCGTGTGATGTGGCTGCCAGGAAAGCTAATGTGATCTTGGGCTAATCTGTCCTGACTAGACCTTCCCTACAGCATTGTGGTCAGTTACAGAAGAGGGCACCCAGAATGGTGGGATGCCTAAAGCCAATATCATATAAAAATTGGTCGAGGGACCAATTTAGTTTGGGGAAGGGAAGGCTCGGGGACATGCTAGCTGTTTTTAAATACTTGGAAGTCTGTCATGTGGGAAAGGGATTAGATTTGTTTTTAGGGGGAGGGCAGAGAGCATGTAGATACAACATGTGCTGTGTGCCAGGCACTCTGCTAAGTACTTTTTGGGGTAGGGAGTGGGGGGGCAATGGGTGTGAAGTGATTTGCCCAGGGTCACTTAGCTAGTGTCTGAGGCCTCATTTGAACCCAGGTCCTCCTGACTCCAGGGCAGTGCTTATTCACTGTGCCACCTACTGGCCCCTGTGCTAAGTACTTTTACAGTTATTTCATTTGATCCTCACAACAACCCTACAAGTAGGTGCTGTTATTATTTTCATTTTACAGTTGGGGAAACTGAGGCAAACAGGTTAAATGACTTGCCCAAAGTCACATAGTCAGTAAGTGTCTGAGGCTGGATTTGAACTCTAGAGGCCTGGCACCCTCTCTACTGTGCCACATGGCTGCCTTTGGCTTCACAGAAAAGAACTGGCCAAAAAAAATATCGCAGAAAGGCTCAGCTATGTTTGATGTTAGGAAAACCTTCCTAAAAATGAAAGCTGTCCATGAGATATGAGATGATAGGTTCCCTAATAGTGAAGGTCTAAAAGCAAAGGTTAGATGACCAGCCACTTGCAGGGTGAGTTGTATAGGGAGTTCTTTAGATGACCACCAAGACAGATCCCTCCCAAAGCTGAAATTCAGTGATCCTTCTCTGCCTAGCCCTAATGTCACCTTTTCCATGCAGCCCTCCTGACTTGAAAATGGTCTTACTGGTCACCAGACTCCTCTGTCTCCCTTTTCATACTATCCTTAAGATATTAACACATTCTCAAAATCTTTAGCCTGGTCAAAATCCTTTTAAGCAGGGTCACAGGGTATTTGCTGCACTCTTTGTGGACTTGGAGAGCTGCACCTTCTGGGTGTGTAGTAGATGCCCAGCATTTACATAGGGGTAATTAGGAAAAAGTAAGTAAACCCTAAGTGAGGAAATTCCCCCTATCAATGCAGGTTGGTACCTTCTTAGCAACTTAAACATCTTAGAGAGTTGCCTAGGATTCTGGGAGTGACTGCCCAGGGTTGCTCAGCTGGTATGGGTCAAAGGCAAGACTCGAACCTAGGTTTTCCTGGCTTTGAAGCCAACTCTCCCTGCTATATGTCACTGCCCCTCTCTTGCTGATTATTCTAGCAAATTAGAAGCCCCATTATGCTTGAGATCCTTATATCTTGTGTTCCAGGCATCAAAACTGCTCTCTTGGTTGGTGGGATGGCTCCTCAGAAACAGCAAAGGATGCTGACTCGCCAGCCAGAAATTGTGATTGCCACACCTGGGCGTCTGTGGGAGCTAATTAAAGAGCAGCATCATCACCTCTCAAATCTCAAGCAGCTCAGGTAAGAGCCTTTGTGAACTCTAGCCTTCTTCCCCTCTATCCAGCCTGTTCCTAATTAGGTGACCTGGTTATCCAGTTACCCTGGTTTTTTCCCAGCAATTTAGTAACATGGCCTGGATGGCAGGCCTCATTTTTGTCCCAGAGGGCTTCACTGGAGCTCCCCTGACATTATCAATGTGTACAATGTTTGCTAGCCTCAGAGTTTTAGATTAAAAAAAGAAATTGGTTCAAAGAATCAATTCTAGGAATACAGTATAGGAGAGAGAGTGATTAGATTAATTTGAAAAAGACCTGGGGGTCCTAGTGGTCTGCAAACTCAGCATGAGTTAGCAGTGTAATACAGCCAAAACTGCTTACATCATCTTGGGCTGCATCGGTAGACACACTGTCTGTGATGAAGGAGATGAGCATCCATCCCATTGGTACCCTACTGTGGGCAGACGGTAATTGGAGTATGATATGTTAACTTCTAAGTAGGAGAATGTCCAGGATGATAAGGGACTGGAGACAATGCGGTTTAAAAACTGGTTGATGGAACTGAGTATGTTTAACCTAGAGAAAAGAAGTTGAAATGGGGCTGTGGTACTTAGCCAAGTATCTTAAGAACTGCCCCATGGGACAGAGATTGTTATTCTGCTTGGCCCAAAGGAAGTAAAAAGAAAGGATTTATTAAGTGCCTTCTATGTGCCAGGTACTGTGCTAAAGGCTTTACAAATATTATCTCATTTGATCCTCACAACAACCCTGGGAGGTAGGAGCTATTATTATCATTTTACAGATAAGGAACCCGAGACAGATAGAAGTTAAGTGACTTGCCTGGGGCCATACAGTTAGTAAGTGTCTGAGGCTGGATTTGAACTCAGGAAGATGAATCTTCTTCGTGACTCCAGGCCTGGCACTCTATCCACTGCACTACCTAGCTGCCCATAAGGAGAAACTTCCTAAGAGTTGGAGTGAAATAGGCTTCCACAAGAGATAATGAGTTCTCCTTCACTGCAGATTTAAGTCAGAGGCTGGGTCACCATTATATGAACACCATGTTTTATAGTGTAAGTCTGTCCTTTGTAATATCAAGGCTATGGCAGAGGGGATTCTTGCTTAGGTGACCTCAGATCCTGAGTCTGTGATTTTGTGCATCCAACAAGCAGAGGCTAGAGCGTCATGAAGGTAGTTTTTTGAGATTGTGTGCGGTGTCAGCCTTCTGTGCCTTTGGGGGCCTGAGGAATGGAGCGTGGGTCTGGGTCCTTGACTAACAGCCGTGTTTTGCTTGGACAGGTGCCTTGTGATTGACGAGGCAGATAGAATGGTTGAAAGAGGCCACTTTGTTGAACTCTCCCAGTTGGTGGAAATGCTGAATGACAGCCAGTATAATCCACAAAGACAGACATTTGTATTTTCTGCCACGCTGACTTTGGTCCACCAGGCACCTGCCAGAGTGTTTCAAAAGAAAAATGCCAAGAAAATAGACAAGACAGGCAAGCTGGACATGCTAATGCAGAAGATTGGGATGAGGGGGAAACCAAAGGTGATAGACTTAACAAGGAAAGAGGCCACAGTGGAGACCCTGACGGAGACCAAAATCCACTGCGACAAAGAAGAGAAGGACTTCTATCTCTATTACTTCCTGCTTCAGTACCCGGGGAGAACCATGGTCTTTGCCAATAGCATTGACTGTATCAAACGACTCACAGCACTCCTCTCCATTCTGGACCGAGATCCACTTCCTTTGCATGCGAACATGCACCAGAAGCAAAGATTAAAAAACCTAGAGCGGTTTGCTGAACGAGACAAGTAAGCCGACAGTGGAGGCGGCCCCGAACCCCTTACAAACAGGCCAGGAGAGCCCGAGGGAGGGAACTGAAGCTTCTCTGTCTGTGGGGTTGGTCTTGTCCCTCTGAAATGTCTGTCCTCCTGCCCCTTCCTCCTCCCCGCCTCCCTGGCTCGGTAGCCTTTCAGCCACTGCAGCCTTGCTGAGCAATGACTGACTCATTGTGAAACTTCATCCAGCAAAAGGAGAGAGTATTTTTCAGTCTAATTGAGCTCTTACAGTCCTGGGGCTGACCTCATTTCTACAGCCCCTGGAATTGCATTGAGCCACATGGGCACCAGAAACGTGTTTGTTATGGTGAAGATGCCCTGCAGATTCTTCAGTAATAGCAGAGTTCAAACTGTGGGCAGGATAAGGGATGAGGTAGGACAGGAGCAGGCTAGCGAGGTCAGCTTCCAAGCCCTCAGTTCCAAAGAAGGGGCTTAGAATGGGCTGTGTCATTCTGCATGTGTTGTCAGATCAATGGGTGGCTCATTTCTATAGCAAATAGTTTATTGCCTTTCATACAATAAAACTTGGACTGTTAGGGTTAGGAGGGACCTTGGAACATGGAGCATAAATTGTTAGATGTGGCTAGACTCAATGTGCTCTTTGTGAAGTCAAGGCTAAACAGGAACTTAGAGTGTAGAATGTTTAACACTAGAATTGTCCTGAATATTAGTGCTAGAAAGAACCTTAAGGTTAGAAGGACTTTTAGGTACCATCTGCCTTGACTTCTTCATTTTGTAGATGAGAAAATGAGACCCAGAGAGGTAAAGGGTTACATAGTTTGGCCCAGGTTATATAGCTTATTATATATATATATGTATATAAAATGAGTTATAATACTTAAGACCAGTATTTTTTCCCCTCTGTATCCTGCTGCTTCCTCAGATACCAAATTACTTCAAGAAGACCCCTGAACTTACCTTAACAGTTCTCTCTGTGTAGACTAACCCAGGGACTGGTGGTTCTCAGCAGAAGGATTTTTCCTTTTCAGTGGTACTGAATACCCTCCTTTCCCCTACAGTGGTGTTCTTCTATCAACAGACGTTGCTGCTCGGGGTTTGGATATTCCAGATGTTCAGCATGTCATTCATTATCAGGTGAGCATATGTGGGGGCATTTGTGGGTTTGACAATTCCTAGCCTACACTAGTGAGAGAAGAGGCACACCTCAAAAGGATCATCAGATGATACGGAACCAGCTTAGGAGCTGCAAATGGCTTCCTTTTCTCAATAACTGATAACATTTATTTAGGGAGAGAATATCCCCCTCAAAGGTTTGAAAGCTCCATTCCGCTCTAAACCATTGATTTCAGATGCCTCTTATCACTCATATGTTTTAGATAACCTCCCATCTTGTGTAGGGTGAAGCCCTATACTGGGGTTTAAAAAAAGCAGCTGCTCATGAGAAGAACAGGGTCATTTGATGGGGCTAGACTAAACATAGTCTCATTGTGGCAATCCAAAAAGCTAACTCCATCATCAGTGGCAGTAACAGAGAGAGGCAAAGAGTCCAGGCAGGGGAGGTGAGAGCGTTGCCGTGCTTTGCCCCGGCCAGACCGCATCTGGAGGAGGATGCTCAGTTCTAAGGACCACATTTTAGGAAGGACATTGGTAAACTGGTGTGTGCCAGAAGTAGGTGATCAGTGGGAGTAACGGTTGAAGGAATTGAGGATGGAGGATGTTTAGCTTACAGAAGAGTAGACCAGTGCTGGGGGTGGGGATGGCGTGATAGGGAAGGGGGAATGACCTTCTATGTTTGAAGGGCTATTGTTATGTGAAAGAGGAATTAGAATTTGTTTTCTTTCATTCCAGAAAGGCCAAACTAGAATCCCTGTATGGAAGTTACAGAGAAGTAGATCATAGATGTTGGACTGGAAGGGTCCTCAGAGGCCTTGCAGTGTAATGCCTCATTGTACAGATGAGGAAACTGAGGCCTAGGGAGGTTGTGACTTACCCAGGTTGATACAGTGAACTGCATAGGTGGGGCTTCAATCCAAGCCCTCTACATCTAGGAGTTGCCTTCTAGTTCAAATCTAGCCTGAAACACTTAGTAGCTTTGTGACTCTGGACAAGTCACTTAGCCTTGGTCTACTTCAGTATCCTCAAATGAGGATGTTAATAGCGCCTTCCTGGGAGGGTTGTTGTGGGGATAAAATGAGATATTTGTAAAGTACTCTGCAAACCTTAAAGCTCTATATAAATGCTGGTTGTTGTTGTTGTATTACTACCACCACCACCACCACCACCACCACCACCACTACCTCTACCATCACTACTACTACTACCACCACCACCACCACTACCACTACCACCACTACCACTACCTCTACTACCGCTACTACTACTGCTACTGCTACTGCTACTACTACTGCTACTACTACTACTACTACATTACCACCACCACCACCACTACTAATACCATTACCAGTACTACCACTACTAATACTACCACTTCTACTATTACTACCACCACCACTACTACTACTATTATACTATTACTGCCACCACTACTATCACCACTACTGACATTACCACTACTACTACCTCTACTACCACTTCTACTATTACTATTACTACTACCACCACCTCTGCTACTGCTGTCATACCACTACTATTACTGCCACCACTACTATCACTACTCCTAACATTACCACCACTACTACTACTTTCACTACTCCTACTCCTACTCCCACTCCTACTGCTACTACCACTAGTGAAGATTTCCCCATGCTAGTGAGATCAGGGATCCAGGGGACCAGCTCTAGCTATCTGATAGTGGAATGCGCTGCCTCTGTTAGTGAGTCCCCTGTCCTTGGAGGTGTTGAGTAGAAAGGCTGGGTGATGACCTGTCAGGAGTGCCATACAGAGGATTTCCTTTACCAGGCAAGAGATTGGACCAGGTTGTCATTCAGGTCTCTTCCTCCTGTAGTCTTCATATTTAAAATAATGAAAGAGATGATCTTTAAGGTCCCTGCCAGTTAGAAGAATGTGTTGGTGCAGTCACTGCTTCCAATGATAGACTGTTAAGAATGGAAGGACTTTAGTCAACTTTGTTAATGTGTTAATTGTTAATTAACTTGTTTGTTGTTAATCTGACATTTACAATAATCCTATGAGGTAGAGAGGGTGATTATTTATCATTTCTGCAGAAATTTTATTATCCAATTCTAGGAGGAAATTGCAGCCCTTTGACTTGCCCAAGATCACACAGTTAGTAAGTAACCAGAGCCAGGGACAGAACATACGTTTCCTAGTTTATTCCTCTTTCTTCTTCAGTTTGAACTTTGCTAATACTGAGGAATCTATCTGCAGGGCATCTTCACCATAAAAACCACAGCTTAGAGCCTTTGTGCCTCTGCAATTCCAGGCACTGTAGAAGTGAGGTCAGCCCCAGGACTGTAAGAGCTTAAATAGATTTTTAAAAACCTCACAGAGCCTCACATGCACTTAGATTCATCCATTGTGGTTTGACGCAGTGAACTGTGGTGCAAAAAGAGTGTAAGAAGATGTGAGTTTGAGTCCCAGCCCTCCCACTCAGACAAGTTACCTCATTCTCTGGGCCTCTGTTTCCTTCTCTATAAATTGGGGGTGACAGGAGTGGCTGTCCCTAACGTACCTCAAAGGGTTGCTGTGAAGATCAGAGAAGATACTGTTTCTGAGTCCTACAGAGACTGTAGGGATCTGGGATTTTGTAATTGTGGGGACTCTTTCTCCCTATTCCCCCCACCTCTTCCGCCTTAGGAGATGGTCTTGCAGAGTTGTGGCTGAAAAATTCGTCACCCTGTGAACAGCCTGGTCACGAGTCTCTCTGATTGTTCTTGTTCTTGTTCAGTTATGTCCAATTCTTCACTACCCCATTCGAGGTTTACTTGCCAAAGATACTGGAGTGATTTGCCATTTCCAGCTTGTTTTGCAGATGAGGAAACTGAGGCAGGCAGGGTTAAGTGACTTGCCCGAGATCACACAGCTAGTAGATGGCTGAGGCCAGATTTGAAGTCAGGTTTTCCTGACTCCAGACCGGGCACTCTATCCAATTCGCCACCTAGCTGCCCTGTCTCCATAATTCAGATGATTATATCAGAGGCTGATATTCGGACAATGGGCACACAGTCTGTCACTGGGCCTTGGCCCAAAGCCTGTCCACCATGTTATAGACCTGTTAGAACTTGAATGGTACTAGTATAACCCTCCAGTAACCCAAGGTCACCTCTGAGTCTCAATGAGGCATCAGAGGAGAACTTTAATAGAAGAAACCATAAAACATTATGCCAATATAGGGATGGGGCTGGCCCTCCCAGGTGAGGAAACTCCATCTACCAATGTAGGTCAGCACTTTTTTTTTTTTTTTTGCAACTTATTGACCCACATTACTGAGAGGTTAAGTAAGTGACCTACTCAGGGTCACAGAACCAGGGTATGGATCAGAAGTGGGACTTGAAACAAGGCCTTTCCTGTGCCAAGGCTGGCACTCTCTCCCCTTCACTATGGTACCTCTTGTGCCACGTATGGCACAAATAGAAGCTGTTACTTTGCCATCTTATCTCTGATTCTAGGAAAGGCTAACTCATTCCACAGCTGTGTTTATTTTTCACCAGAAGAATCTGCATACCCCATCCTTCCAAGGGTCAGCTCTAGCCTTCACGTAAGCATCCTCTGATCCCAGCCATAAGTGTCCCTAATGTTGATCTGTTTTGAAGGTCCCTCGAACCTCAGAGATATATGTCCACCGGAGTGGCCGAACAGCTCGAGCAGCTAAGGAAGGTCTCAGTTTGCTGCTAATTGGACCAGATGACGTGATCAATTTTAAGAAGATTTACAAGACTCTTGAGAAGAATGAGGAGATTCCATTATTTCCCATTGAAATAAAGTGCATGAAAGCAATCAAGGTAAAAAAAAAAAGACCCCAAACCAAAACACCCAAAACACCAAACCAACAAAATCCCCATGTCAACAGAAATGTCATCTGCTTAAAATACAACAACTTTCTCCTTAGATTCTAGGCTTTCCCCCAACAAATTTGGGATTCTATGGTGGTTCCTCCTCTTATGGGTAGCTAACTAAGGGGCAACATGTTCTAATATTAACTCATTATAACAGCTTGTGTCAGTTTCTGCATTTGTAAAATGGGGATAACCATAGCATCTCCTTCTCAGGGTGGCTATGAGGATAAAATGAGATCATAATTATAAAGCACTTAGCACAGTGTCTGGCACATAGTAAGTGCTATATAAATGTTAGCTCTTATTATCATTATTATTACCACTGCTATATAAGGCTTTCATATCTCCACAATATTACTACTACTACTGCTACACTACTGCTACTGCTACTACTACTACTACTCCTTCTCCTCCTCCTCCTCCTCCTCCTCCTCCTCCTCCTACTTCTACTACTTCTACTTCTAGCCCTACTCCTTCCACTACTCCTCCTACTATTACAATATTGGACTTTCATATAATCACAATATTACTACTAGTACTACTACTACTACTACTACTATTTTGTTCATTTTACAGATGAGGAAACTGAGGTAAATAGGGTTCAGACTTGCTCAGGATCATACAGCTGGAGTCTGAGGCTGGATTTGAACTAATGAAGATAACTCTTCCTGACTCCAAGCCCAGCACTCTATCCACTGAGCCACCTACTACTACTGTAGGACTTTCATATACTCACAATATTACTACTATTGCTACTACTAGACTTTCATAGACTCACAATATTATTATTACTTCAAGACTCCTAATACAGGGTAGCTAGTTGGAACAATAGATAATATTATTATTACTACTACTACCACCATAGGATTTTCATGTACTCACAATATTATTATTATTACTACTACTATAGGACTTTCGCATATTCATAATATTACTACAACAACAACAATTGTTACTAATACAGAGCAGCTAGGTGGATAGACTACTGGGCCTAGAGTCAGGAAGACTCCTTTTTGTGAGTTCAAATCTGGCTTTAGATACTTGCTAACTGTGTGAACCTGGGCAAGTCACTTAACCCTGTTTGCCTCAGTTTCTTCATCTATAAAATGAGCTGGAAAAGGAAATGACAAACTACTCCAGTATCTTTGCAAAGACAACCACAAATGAGGTCAAGAAGAGTTAAGACATGACTGAAAAACAACTGAACAACAACTACTAATACTATAGGATTTCCACATAGTCACAATATTATTTTTACTACTACTACTATGTGACTTTCACATACAATATTATTTTTACTACTACTACTACTACTACTACTACTACTACTACTACTACTACTA